CCTAACAACCTCACTACCTCTGAGGATGCTTGCCATAGATGCAGGCAAAATGTCAGGGGAAAATGCCTCTAGAACATGGCCATATAGCCCGGAAAAACCTACAACAACCCAGTGATTCTGGAAATGAAAGCCTTCGGCAATACGAAGACTTTTGTTGTCTTCTGGAGTCTTGGCTCTCCCTCCCAATTTGGTCCCGTCTGCAAACATGGTGATCATGCCTTCTGGCCCTTCATCTAAGTCCATGATGGCAAACCTATGACACGTGTGTCAGCACTGACACGCGTAACCATTTTCGATGACACACAGCCGCATGTGGCCGCATACAGAGAAGATGGGGCCGCTTCCCAAGAAGGACATTTCATCCTCGGCTCCTACACTAGCATTTTTCTATATTGCCCAGATATATGGCATTATAGAAAAAGCAGGTAAGTTAAATAATTAGTTTTTGGTTTATTAAATACAGTTATATATTACAATAATATATTTTTGTTATTAAACTATAAATATCATGAAATTATGGTAGTGACACCCCACTCGAGTTATGCTTGGTTTTTTTGTGAGTATTGACACACCAAGCTCAAAAGGTTGCCCATCATTGATCTAAGTCATTAATAAAGAGGTTGAACAGGACCGGGCCCGGGGGGAACCCTGCTTGTGGCACTCCGCTCGTCACCATGAATTATAGACCTGGACCAAACTTGGAACAGAGAACCCCCATGACCAACAGAAAATACAGGAGGGGTTTGGGAGGAATTGACAGTGATTTAGGGGAGATGTAGTTCACCTACATCCGGAGAGCAAACCCAAATAACTATGGACCTGGACCAAACTTGGCAGGAATACTCATATATGCCCTGGATTGTTGTTGAAGGCTCCTTCTATGGAAGCTTTGAAACAGAGGCTGGATGGCCATCTGTTGGGGGTGATTTCACTGTAATATTCCTGCTTCTTGGCAGAACGGGGTTGGACCGAATGGCCCATGAGGTCTCTTCCAACTCTTTGATTCTACGAGAGCCATTCAACAGTGGAACTCTCTGCCCTGGAGTGTGGTTGACGGCTCCTTCTATGGAAGCTTTGAAACAGAGGCTGGATGGCCATCTGTTGGGGGTGATTTCACTGTAATATTCCTGCTTCTTGGCAGAACGGGGTTGGACCGAATGGCCCATGAGGTCTCTTCCAACTCTTTGATTCTACGAGAGCCATTCAACAGTGGAACTCTCTGCCCTGGAGTGTGGTTGACGGCTCCTTCTATGGAAGCTTTGAAACAGAGGCTGGATGGCCATCTGTTGGGGGTGATTTCACTGTAATATTCCTGCTTCTTGGCAGAACGGGGTTGGACCGAATGGCCCATGAGGTCTCTTCCAACTCTTTGATTCTACGAGAGCCATTCAACAGTGGAACTCTCTGCCCTGGAGTGTGGTTGACGGCTCCTTCTATGGAAGCTTTGAAACAGAGGCTGGATGGCCATCTGTCAGGGGTGCTTTGAAGGCGATTGCCCTGCTTCTTGGCAGAAAGAGGTTGGACTGGATGATGGTCCAGGAGGTCTCTTCCAACTCTATGGTTCTATGACCCAACCAGGAAATGATATTTGTAACCCAGGAACGGGAATCGTGTTACACAGTATTACATTTAATGTATTTGAACCTCACATGCGCAGTAGGCTTGTGCATAATTTCGGACCAAAATCGGAAGTCGTATCAAATTCATTAAATTTGTGCATACAGAGTGACTTCCGAGACATTCAGGAAAGTTGGGAGGGGGGAATTTAGAAATTGAAACACTTGCCCACATTTTTCGTAAATCTTCTGTAATGTTCGGATCTCTCTCAAGGTCTGTTTAATTTTCATTATAACCATTAAGCAACTTTGGGAATGTCAAGAGAACATAAAATGCTCTTAAAATCATGCCTTTGGCCTCACCTTTGCCGACACCCCCATAAGGAAGGCGCTGTGGGCGTGATCAATCACAGCCATCTTAACTGTAGTTTTGGGGGGCCAGGCTCCCAATAGTAGAAATTGCAAAAGGCCTTCCTTTAAACTACATTTCCCAGAATGCATTGCTGCTCCGGACCCAAGTGAGGGCTGGCCTCAGCATTCGCCATTTAGAGTTAGTCTAAATCAAATTATAGAATCTGCAAAGAGGACTAAAGTAAGCAAGCATAGGAAGCAACGTTTGCATTGCAACGGTTGCACTCCAGGCCAGGGAACCCTCTGACTTCCAACACCACACAGCTGACTAAAATACAAGTAGATGATGGAAGATAATTAAAAGCAGTAGCAGTAAAAAGCAATCCGTCGTAAAAAGGTAAATCCAAATAGGTAGAAAAGGTAGATAGGAACAAATAATCCAGGAAAATAGTCCATGACAACAAATACTGGAACTTCCAAGGCACAAACCCCAAAGGACTTGAGCATTCATCCAACAAAGCACCATGGAATCACACAAGGCATTGACTTCAGGGATCTATCCAAGGCAAGGCATCCAGGAACTTGAAACAAGATCTTGGCCTAATTCCAACGTTGCTTTGTCTGGCTACAGATTCTGTACTTGACACTTGTATCCCTCTATTCTACTGTATATCCCAAGTGGCCAAGAATGGATTTCTTCTTAGCCTTGAATCTCCTCTCTGTGTCTGCTGAAGGGAGGCATGTACAATAGATGAGATTTGCAGTACCTTCACTTGCTTCAGTTCCTGAAGAGGCCTCCTTTCCGCCCCGAGAGGGGTACAGGCACAGCTACACGGAGAGGCGCTTGCCAACACCATCACTCTTCTCACAGGGGGAGAGGCCCTGGGAGCACGCCCCCAGGGGCTGCACTCCATTGCACCATCTAAGGACACACGCTCCCTGCACAAGGCCTCTTTCCCTGCGGACTTGGCAACACCTGAGCCCGTCCAACTCCCAGTGTTGGCAAGTGTGCGGGGAAAAGGGGGCCATGCAGGGTTCACGTGCCCTGCACCAGCCCTCTACCCTCACTCTCTTGCCAACGCCAGGGGAGGGATGTACCCCGGCGTTGGCAAGCACACGGGAAAGAGGGCAGGGAGCACATGTGCAGGGGCCAGTGGTGCATGGCCCCTGGATGTGCAATCCCAGAGCCTCTTCCCTGGGCACTTCCCAGTGCCAAGAGAGGGATGCACCCTGGTGTTGGCAAGTGCGAGAGGGATGAGGCCCGCTGTAGGGAGTGTACACCCAGAGGCCGGTGGAAGGAGCACAGCCCGTGGGTGCATGCTCCCAGAGCCTCTTCCCCCATGTGCTTGCCAACACCGGGAGAGGGCATCTATGACTGCACCCTCTTCCAGCAGCTTACCTGAAGGCCTCAGTCCCTTGGGACCTTTTTGGTGCACTGTGGAGGGCGCATGGGGCCTGCAGGAGGAGGAGAGGCTTAAGGAGGTCGTTCCGTGACCCAGGGGAGCCTCAAGAGCGCCCCTCAGGGATTGGCACTCTACGCAAATGCGTAATTTGCCTATTGCTTCAGCCGCCCCTGGCTGTCCATAATCGAAGAAACACCAAATCCTGAAGATCTTCCCAATTTAACTGAAACCAAGACTTACTTGTAATAATAAATCTGTACACACCAAGACACTTTAGTAGAATATATTTCAGTCTGGCTTTGGTTTAAACTACAGTTGCTAAGGAAGAAAAAAGGCCCACTACCATCAAATAGTTTCTTCCTTTGTTTTGGGAAGTCAAGTAAAACAAAGCTTTGTCTCTTTGTCAACTTGGGCAGAATGCAGGAGAGGAAATGCCGCACAGAAGAGGTAAAGAAGCAGTAGAAGGATATCTGGAAAATCTAAACAGATTCGACTCTCCATGAACTACAACCAAAGGCATTAAAAGTACTGGCAGACATTTCAGAACTACTGGCAATTATCTTTGATAATTCCCAGAGAACAAGTTCCAAGTGGACGGGGGGAGGACAAATGTTGCCACTACTTAGGGTTTTCAGAAGGGAGGAGGACCCAAACAATGACATCAAGACCAGGAAAGATTCTAGAGCAGATCACTAACATCTGCATAAATAGCCAAAAGAAATAAATGCTTGTAAGAAAATAAGAAAATTCCAAAAAGTCATAAGTCCATAAAAGGTAGTAACACAAAGCAATGTCCACACCAGATATAAAAGCAATCCAAGACAGCATTTATCCAAACAGGAATCAACAGGACACAAAGTCAATCCAAAAGGCTAAAAAAACTCCACAGGAACAAGACCCTTTGAACAGGATTTCCATGGCACATGAACTTGATTTCCAAATGATGCCTGATCTAACAGGTTTCCCCTTGAGGCAAACCTTATATCCCAAAGCTCAGAAATTGGTTTCGCTTTTCCCCACATTTACCCCGTATCAGGCAAAGCCTTTCAGAGCGATGTAAGCACTGAGTTTGCTGTCGATCTTGGCTGATCTCCAGCCGCCTATTCTTCAGATCCCTATCTGGCTGCTCATTAAAATTCCCAGGGGTCAGATTGTTTTCCAAACCCAAATCTTGTGCACTCTCAGAGAGAGGGAGTGAACCATCATTGCTAGGCCCAGCAGGGATATTCTCATGAGAAACAGCCCTTTGCACTGAGGCCTCTCTGTCATTGTATGAAAATCATTGACCAACCATCTCCATCTTGTACCTCAGCCTCGGCACCATCATTTCCCTCATCATGTCCTATATCAGGATCCTGAAACACAAACACAGGCTGATTCCCAACAGTATATAAATATGGTAAATAATAAATAAATAAATAAATTGACCCAATAAAATCAATGTGTCTTTCTAATCTTGGGTGGAGGTCCCCACCCTACTTTCCTTCTTTCCTTTTTCCTTTCTTTACTCACACCTTCTTGTTTACGATCACCTGTGTTGGTTTCTGTGTATGTGTCTGAAACCCTTCACATCTGCATTTCTGATATTTCCATTTTGAACATGGACCTAAAAGGAAAAGGAGGAAATCTTTAAGGTAAAGCAGGTTTTTGGTCTTCATCCCTAATTATTTCTTTCTTCTTTCTTGACCAGGGAAATGAAGATTGTCTGGAGCCACCACCAGTGTGATGAGAAACAAGACGGTATCTAGTCAATGTTGGGAATTTAGAAGTCAAAAGGAAGGAAGAAGGAAATTCTTTTAAGAACTTTAACCACTGATCAGAAAGGATAAAAGAACAAAATGTCCATATTGCAGCTAAACATTCCTATCACTATGGAGATGGCGGAGAAAGCATATACATGTACTGAGTGTGGGAAGAGCTTCACTCAGAATGGAAGTCTAAACAAACATCAAAGAACACACACTGGAGAGAAACCTTATACTTGCTTGGAGTGTGGAAAGAGCTTCACCCACAGTGGAAATCTACATTCACATCAGAGAATCCACACTGGGGAGAAACCCTATACTTGCCTGGAGTGTGGAAAGAGCTTCACTCACAGTTCAACCCTGCATAAACATCAAAGAACCCACACTGGGGAGAAGCCTTATACCTGCTTGGAGTGCGGAAAGAGCTTCAGCCGCAGTGGAAATCTGCAATCACATCAAAGGACCCACACTGGAGAGAAACCCTATACATGCCTGGAGTGTGGAAAGAGTTTCACTGACATTAGAACACTTCATAAACATCAGAGAATCCACACTGGGGAGAAACCCTATGTATGCCTGGAGTGTGGAAAGAGCTTCGCCCACAGTGGAAATCTATATTCACATCAAAGAATGCACACTGGGGAGAAACCCTATACATGCCTGGAGTGTGGAAAGAGCTTCACCCACAGTGGAAATCTACATTCACATCAAAAAATGCACACTGGGGAGAAACCTTATTCATGTTTGGAGTGCGGAAAGAGCTTCCTCCACAGTGGAAATCTACATTCACATCAAAGAACACACACTGAGGAGAAACCCTATGTATGCCTGGAGTGTGGAAAGAGCTTCACTCACAGTGCAACCCTGCATAAACATCAAACAACCCACTCTGGGGAGAAGCCTTACACGTGTGTGGAGTGTGGAAAGAGCTACACTGACAGTGGAACTCTTCATAATCATCAAAGGACCCACACTGGGGAGAAACCCTACACATGCCTGGAGTGTGGAAAGAGCTTTGCTCAAGCAGCACAATTGCATTTACACCAGAGAACCCACACTGGAGAAAAACCATTCTCATGTCTGGAGTGTGGAAAGAGCTTCAGTCACAGTGGAACTCTATATAAACATCAAAGAGTTCACACTGGGGAGAAACCTTACACCTGCCTGGAGTGTGGAAAGAGCTTCACTGAGAGTGGGAGTCTACATTCACATCAAAGAATTCACACTGGAGAGAAACCCTATAAGTGTCCAGAGTGTGGAAAGAGCTTCATGCGGAGGGGAAGTCTACGTCTTCATCAAAGGACTCACACTGGAGAGAAACCTTATACATGTCCGGAGTGTGGAAAAAGCTTCACTGAGAGTGGAAATTTACACACACATCAAAAAAAGCACACTGGGGAGAAACCCTATAAGTGTATGGAATGTGGAAAGAGCTTCACCGAGAGTGCAACTCTACATAAACATCATAGAACTCACACTGGGGAGAAACCCTATGCATGCCTGGAGTGCGGAAAGAGCTTCGCTCAAACAGCACAGCTGAATTTTCATCAGAGAACCCATACTGGAGAGAAACCATTCTCGTGTCTGGAGTGTGGAAAGAGCTTCAGTCACAGTGGAACTCTATATAAACATCAAAGAGTTCACACTGGGGAGAAACCCTACACCTGCCTGGAGTGTGGAAAGAGCTTCACTGACAGTAGTACGCTTCATAAACATCATAGAACTCACACTGGGGAGAAACCCTACGCATGCCTGGAGTGTGGAAAGAGCTTTGCTCAAACAGCACAACTGCATTTACACCAGAGAACCCACACGGGAGAAAAACCATTCTCATGTCTGGAGTGTGGAAAGAGCTTCAGTCTCAGTGGAAGTCTACAGAAACATCAAAGAATTCACACTGGGGAGAAACCATATACATGCCTGGAATGTGGAAAGAGCTTCACTGAGAGTGGGAGTCTACATACACATCAAAGAATTCACACTGGGGAGAAACCCTATAAGTGTCCGGAGTGTGGAAAGAGCTTCATGCAGAGTGGAAATCTACGTTTGCATCAAAGAACTCACACTGGAGAGAAACCTTATACATGTCCGGAGTGTGGAAAAAGCTTCACCGGGAGTGGGAGTCTACATTTACATCAAAGAATTCACACCGGGGAGAAACCCTATAAATGTCCAGAGTGTGGAAAGAGCTTCACGCGGAGGGGAGATCTACATTCACATCAAAGAATTCACACAGGAGAGAAACCATATACATGCCTGGAATGTGGAAAGAGCTTCACCGAGAGTGGGAGTCTACATTCACATCAAAGAACTCACACTGGAGAGAAACCATATACATGTCTGGAATGTGGAAAGAACTTCACCGAGAGTGGGAGTCTACGTTCACATCAAAGAATTCACACTGGAGAGAAACCGTATACATGTCCGGAGTGTGGAAAGAGCTTCATGCGGAGGGATAGTCTACGTTTGCATCAAAGAACTCACACTGGAGAGAAACCTTATTCATGTCCGGAGTGTGGAAAAAGCTTCACTCAGAGGGGAAATTTACATTCACATCAAAAAACTCACACTGGGGAGAAACCCCATAAATGTCTGGAGTGTGGAAAGAGCTTCACTGAGAGTGGAAGTCTACATAAACATTATAGAACTCATACTGGGGAGGAACCTTATAAGTGCATGGGGTGTGGAAAGAGCTTCACTGAGAGTGGAAATGTGCTCTCTCATCACAGAACCCACTCTGGGGAGGAACCCTATCTGTGCCTGGAGTGTGGAAAAAGCTTCATTAAGAGTGAAATGCTATTTCCCATCAAAGAACCCACACAGGGAGAATGCTGGTACCTGGCACCAGAGAGATTCTCTTAAGATGTACAGAGTAACTCTAGAAATGTAGGTGAGAGCACAATGTTGGGATGTTTTATCGTATTTGGTGGTCTTGCAGAAAGGCCCACAAATCATGGACTCAAATACAGATGGTGCTAGAAGAAATTGGTAATGTTACATTTACCATGAGATCATTGTTTTACTTTTTGGAAATGCTGGTTGATCAACCAGAAAGAAAGCATGGAAGAGCACGACAGGATATGAGAACTGCATCCAGACTCACTTATGCGCAGAGGTGGAAGGAACCCATTATCCCAACGCAAGAAGAATGGCTGGCACAGTTCTGTAAAGTAAATGTGATTGACTGATGGTGCTGAATATGGAAAAATCTTGGATCGTCTCCAAGACAGATTGGGACGTCTCACTTTTTCACAACAACAATTGTAAAATGTCAATTGTAGGGTTTATGAATTAGATGTTAGCGTTGAGCGGAAGTTTTGCACAAGCTTGGTAGAAATCATGGACTCTGGAGACTTCTGGTTACAAAGCAGGTTCAGTTTACTTAGAGCAATTCAAAACACGTCAATTCCAGTAAGCGACAAGGCATGAAGTAGATTTGTAGGCAGAGCCAAGGAAGTGGAAGCGTAAACAATTCTGCAGCTGCTTGGCAGATATCGGATACTCCCTAATTTCTCTCACAACCCAGCACAGAGAGTATCTCAGGGTTACTTTCTCACAGCCTCAAACATAAACATACATCACAGCAATACAACCTTGTGGCATCCATATTACTTCTACATGAAATTACATTTAAACCCATTACATACTTCAACATATTCTGACATTAGAATAGTGTTACCAAAAGTAGAAGTGTGGTTAATGTAGTATTACCCAATGGAGTGGAATACAAAGGAATACAAAACAACACATAGTGAAGTGTGAGGTTTGTAGAATTGCACCCTTATCTGTTTATAGAATCATAGAATCAAAGAGTTGGAAGAGACCTCATGGGCCATCCAGTCCAACCCCATTCTGCCAAGAAGCAGGAATATTGCATTCAAATCACCCCTGACAGATGGCCATCCAGCCCCTGTAAAAGCTTCCAAAGAAGGAGCCTCCACCACACTCCGGGGCAGAGAGTTCCACTGCTGAACAGCTCTCACAGTCAGGAAGTTCTTCCTAATGTTCAGATGGAATCTCCTCTCTTGTAGCTTGAAGCCATTGTTCTGCGTCCTAGTCTCCAAGGAAGCAGAAAACAAGCTTGCTCCCTCCTCCCTGTGGCTTCCTCTCACATATTTATACATGGCTATCATATCCCCTCTCAGCCTTCTATTCTTCAGGCTAAACATGCCCAGCTCCTTAAGCCGCTCCTCATAGGGCTTGTTCTCCAGACCTTTTATCATTTTAGTCGCTCTCCTCTGGACACATTCCAGCTTGTCAATATCTCTCTTGAATTGTGGTGCCCAGAATTGGACACAATATTCCAGGTGTGGTCTAACCAAAGCGGAATAGAGCATGGGGAGCATTACTTCCCTAGATCTAGACACTATGCTCCTCTTGATGCAGGCCAAAATCCCATTGGCTCTTTTTGCCGCCACATCACATTGTTGGCTCATGTTTAACTTGTTGTCCACGAGGACTCCAAGATCTTTTTCACACGTACTGCTCTCGAGCCAAATTACAAATTACATGTTTGCTAGTCTTTTAGCTCCGTCTCTGACACATTTAGAATTGTGCTGCAATTTTGATCTTGTGCAGTATCAGTGAGAGATGTCTATATTGTGCACATGCCAAATTACATGTTTGTACATTTGTTATATTATGGGTTCATGAAGGAGTAAATGCGGTGGCTCTGTATTTAGCAGAGAGCTGTGATTAAATCCCAACAAAAGAAGGGGAGGACTCCTATGGAAATCTACAATGAACATGTTTGGGTGAATCTGCTGTGCCATAGGATATTGTTAAAAGACGGTGTTAGTATCAGCCAAAATTTGGCCTCAGAGCAACTGCTAGGAGGCACGCAATGAAAACAAAGTGCAGAGTCTTCACTCAACTTCAAAGCCTTGAAGCGGCACATTTATTTAATTACTTTCTAAAAGCTACAAAACAATAAACATAAGTATGTACAGAAGAAATCACACACGCGTCTTGCTTCTTCTCCGGCATGGCTGGAAGAGAACGCCCAGCAATCCGTTATCTCAAATCCACGTCGTTGGAATGTGTGACGTATACAGGAAACGTCCACAGTTCACACTCTAGGCATTAAATCACTCTGTGATGCATTACATAGCATTACGTCCTACACCGGACACACAGAGTTTGAAACTACAAGCGATATTTCACACCAGTAAAAACCGCAGTACTGACAGTTAGGAATTTAAATGTGGAAGAACATTGTGTGTAGATGAACGTGACGGCAGCCTGAAAGAAAGTGTCAACACAGTAGAACCCACCAACAGAATCCAAGGTATAGCGTTGTGCAAAATGGACGAGTGACCATCAGGAATGTAGTCTAGGAAATGGGTGTGTCATACCCTACAGAACATAGAATATTGACAAAATAATTGGACATGAAAAAATTAATGACAAGGTGGGGGCCTTGAGTGTTAACTCCACACAATTAACAGTTGAGGAGCGTGATGCTTTGCAGGGAACATTACAAATTTTAGATGGACAACCAGAAATTCCTCAACAGATAAATGAAGAGGGATGAATCATGGCTCCACTACTAGGAATCTGAAACCAAACTGCAACATTAGCAGTGGAAAGATCATGGTTCTCCACCTCCTAAGACATTCAAAGCCATGCCATCAGGAAGGAGGGTTATGCTGTTGTTTTCTGGGGGTGCCAAACGTGTTCTCTTGTTGGGGCCACAACATCAGTAGTACATAATTCCAAAAGTACATCTTGCAATCAAGGAGAAGCTTTGTGGAAAGTCGAGAGAGGAAAGGCTCTTTCACCACGACACGGCACCCAGCCACAGGTCCTGCGTTGCTGTGACCGCCATTCGTAAAGAAGGCTTCACATTGCTGGAACATCAACCATGTTCACCAGATCTGGCTCCCAAAGACTATAGAGTCTCCTTGGAAATAAAGGAACACTTGCATGGAAGGAGATTTTCATCTGATCAGGAGGTGATTGAGGTTGCAGCAGATTAAAAGATCCCTGGTAAAAGGGCATTTTGTCAGTGTGTAATTCCTGTATGATGTGTGTTTAAATGTAATTTTATGTGATAGGATTGTGATTGTAATAGTATTGTATTGCCAGGATGTAGTTTGACACAGAAGGGTTAAACAGCAAAGTAACAAGATGTGAGAATGTGACCCTGAGTTCTTGTTCTGTGCAAGATTAGGGAGTGCCAGAGATAAACTTCCTTCCAGCTGCAGTTTGTATTAGTTCCTATCTCTTTTGGTTTGTGTTCTTCACGTCTGTCCACTGATGGTGTATGTTGTCTATTTTTGAGCTGCTTAAGTAAAGCTGAAAACCTGCTTTTACCAGAGACTCCAGAGTCCATTATTCTGAGCTTCTGTGATACTCTGCTACACGCCAGCACATTTGACCTCAAGGAAATGTATCTTAAAAATGAGGTAGGAACATGGCCAGTTTTTTCTCGGGAAATGGGTCAGAGGTGGAGCATAAGGATCAGCCCTCGTGGGTGGGCGGGCGGGTGTTTTGCTTGGTTTCTGATTTTGTCTTGTAGTTTGTTATAGTAGCTAGTTAGTTCGCATCAAGCATGGTCTCCTTCTGGGTCGGTTCTCCAGAATGGGTCTTGTGGGCACTGTGTTGGACTGGCTCCGCTCCTTCCTGGAGGATTGTACCCAGATGATGATACTGGGACTGTGGCACAGCTAGTTAGTAGCCAGCTGCACTAAATCACTACTGACCGAGTATCACGATGCCAGGGCTCTGCCGTATTCAGTTAGAGGTTAACCAAACAAACTTCCACTTTCTGCTAAACAATTTAATAAAATGACACTTTCTGGCTGTTTTAATAGTCCAAAATATAAAACATAAAGAGAGCACTCAGCCACAGAATATAAAACAAAACTGACAGCAAACGCTGTGCAGGTTCAACATAACACCGTATTTATTTATTTAAAAGTTTGATATACCGACCTTCTCACCTCTTTTGAGGGACTCAGACCGGTTTCCAACCATAAAATCACATACAATCGGTAAAACAACATAATTCATATTACAATAACACATTAAAACAACAAATATATTCAAAACTACAATGGTCAGTCGTCATACTAAAATCGATTATACATCATCTTCCATCCATATCTCAGGGTGTTGGCTCACTCATCAAATGCCTGTCTCAATAACCAAGTCTTCACCTGTTTCCTGAATGTCAGGATAGAAGGGACGGTTCTGATCTCCAGTGGGAGAGAGTTCCAGAGTCGTGGGGCCACCACCGAGAAGGCCCTGTCCCTCGTCCCCACCAGACGCGCTTGTGAGGCTGGTGGGACCGAGAGCAGGGCCTCTCCAGACGATCTTAATAATCTTGATGGTTCATAGGGGAGAATACGTTCGGAGTCAAAAGGTCCAGTCCAGTGGTCAAACGCCAAGAGTTCAATGAACAAAATCCAGGGATCAAGAGTCTATACCAGTGGTTCTCAAGCTGGGGTCCCCAGATATTTTTGGCCTACAACTCCCAGAAATCCCAGCCAGTTTACCAGCTGTTAGGACTGGTTTCCTTACACAACAAATAAATAAAATAGGATTTCAGGGAGTTGAAGGCCAAAAACATCTGGGGACCCCAGCTTGAGAACCACTGGTCTGTACTGTAGTCAAAAGCCAGTCCAAAGATTCAAGGTTCCAGGATTCCAAAGATTCAGGAGACAGGTCAGGACACCAACCTGGGGGAACATCAGCAGCATCTACCACCAAGATAAGACAAATAGTTTTCTCCCAAAGATCATCCCAAGGCCAGCTCCTCATATCCAGAAACACCCAGCTGCAACCTATCTCTTGCATGCTTTCCCCCATGAACTCTTACTTAGAGATTACTCATTTACTTATTGTCCATGCAAATGGATCTGGTTGAGTCCTTTGTTACGGGCTTATCAGCTCAGGAAGTTTGGAAAGTCCAAGAGCCATGAGTTGCTGGGTTCATGAAAAGGTTGCTTTCCTTCATATTTTCTTATATAGACATACATACATATAGGGAATGAGGAATGG